TTAAATTGGGATAACTTTCTTGTTGACGAAGGTATGAATTGTGCCTGCACCATCTTTGACAAGCTGCCGAACTTGGTACTAATTGATAATATTTGCCTTTCAGCAACTTTTGCAAGTGATCAAGGAAACATCATTCTGATATTCAGATTTAACGTTCATTGCAAGAAGTTTGTTTCCAGAGGCGTTCCACAGTTATCAGAAGAGGCTGCCACTTTGTCTAATTGAAATCAAAGAGTGAAAACATATTATGCAAAACATGATCATCACAATAAATTATATAGCTTCATCAATATATACATTGTGGGGTTGTTGTTGTTTTTTAGTAAATCTTGCATAGCTAACATCGGTTTCACCATAGTCATGGGTATTAATCATCTTGGGAGGAGGATACTTTCCCTTTATGTGTGCGTGTGTGTGTTTCATTTTAAATTGCAAATCAAGATTCTAATGACTTTCTTTGGTTTCTCATAAATAAAGTAGAAGAAACTGGTATCATATTAAAAAGTCTGGGTCACATTCACCCACTATTCATTAACTATCTGATCACCTATCACGTGTCTGTGAATCAAATGGTTCGTGCACACTGTTCTAAAAGCATTCAAAGAAGAACATTCAGCTCAAAACTCAGCGGCTGAGATTTTGGAAGAGGCAAGCCTGGATAGTATATTTGGAGGAACAGCAATGTTTCTTAAGGAGACATTTTTTTAGGATGACTTCTCCTTGGTGGTGACATTCAGTATATTTTAGAGTAGCTGTTTATTTCTACCTGTGGCAGTGATGGAAGTAGAGCTCTTATCAACAATTGTCACCCATCCGTCTTGAGAGATAATGGATTCCAGGGGTGAAATCAAACTGCTGTGTGAGCAGCACAGAAGTGACCTCCCTGGGGCGCAAGCCTGGGCAGTGTGTATAGAAGTCCTGGGCTGCCCAGCCAACAAGACCGCACTCTCAGCCTCACTGATGTGGTCCAAGGGAAAGCAGAGCAATATGTTTGGCACTAGCTTGGCTGCATGAGCTGCCAGGAGGAGGTGTACGAGGCACCATCCAACCGTCTTAGGCAGGTAGTCCCTGGCACATTGCCCAAACAGCTTAACCATCAAATGTCTGGGGCAAGTGTACCCGGCTTGCCCCCACCATGTGCCTGGTCTTAAGGACTCCACTCCAGATTTCTGTAGGGTTTACCCCTTAGCCTTTTCTTCTCTTGAAGATATCCCACAAGGCAGTGAAAGATTAGGATCAGAGTTTCCCATTGGATGGGCTACCTTCTCACGTTGACAAGCCCCATCTGCATCTCACTTCCCCACATGCAGAAAATGCCTTATTGACCATTGGACCCAGTATTGGTCATGTCCACTGAGTCCGCCAGAGCCTGTCTTCACATGCAGGGCAAGTCCCTAACTCACTGGAGGTCTGAGATGCATGGGTTACCTTCATCTGGTTTAGCTGGCCAGTCCAAGTCATTCCCTGGGTGTGGCCACTGTCACATTCTGACAGCTTCTAGGAGGCATAGGTGAGAGCTGAGTGCAGGGTGAGGCCCAGAGATGGAGCACAACATGTCCCCCACCAGTACTACTACTCCCCTAACACCCTGTACAACAACAGCTGGCATATATTCTCCCCTTTTGCCATAATGGCTCAGACATAGGATTAAACCTTGGCTGAGGTCTCCCAAGCAAGTTCTATGGTTTGTGGAGATTAGAACCTTGGTCTCCTCCGTCTACTCCAGTATTAGTACCAAGGCCGTCTTACCCATAGGCACCAAGGGTGTGGGGCACCCAGGCGCCGGACTCTCAGGGGTGCCAGGCCTAGAGTCCAGGGCCCGAGAGTTGAGTCCGGGGAAAAGCCCACCTGTTGGTTGGAGTGCTGTGGCAGGCTCATCTGCTGTGGGTGGCTCTGCACCGCAAGTTCGGGGGCGACTGAGCCAGTGAGACGCTGAGGCGGCCGGACGGCTCCACCCTCCTGTGCACCTGGGACTGCATGGGCAACCTGGGGGGGGGGGAGGGTGCCGGGCAGATCTTTGCACCCCGGCGCTGCATATGCTTAAGACAGCCCTGATTAGTACTATTGCAGCTCACCTCATTTTATAACTTGCCTGAGTCCTTGATGGAGGGCAGGCTTGCACGATCTGTGACTCACTAACCTATACTTCATTCAGACAGTGCGCACGCACACACACACCATTTTCCCAACCATCCCTTCCTTGCCTGACAATAAGAACATAAGAATAGCCCTCCTGGATCAGGCCAACAGCCATTCTGGTCCAGCATCCTGCTCTCAAAGTGACCAACCAGGTGTCTTTGAAAAACCCACAAGCAGGACCTGGGTATAACAGCACTCTCTCCACTTGTGAGTCATAGTAACTGGAATAAAGAGGCAAAGTGCCTCTAACAATGTAGGTTACATATAGCCATCATGGCTACAGTTTACCATGTTGTGTGCTGGTGCTGGCCTACTTGTGAGGCTTAGAAAATGATCCTGGATCTTTGTTTCTGTAGATCACCAGTAGTGCAGTTCTGATGGAGTTTGTGGTGTGTTCTCCATATTTATATGAAGAGGAAGCTTTGAGGTTTCAACATAGCATCACAAATATTTCACTGGCATGTCCCTGTTAACATCCGCGGCAATTAAGTGGCCACAGCATCCCCAAAACATGGTGCATTTACAACCCTTTTCTTGCTGCAAGCACTTGAGTTAAGTAGCATTACCATGGCAACGGAGTGCGATATTTAAAGGCTCTGAGAAAGCTACATTTCAGCTGATAATTCATCCCGAGCTGCCATGTACTTTTCTCTCCATTATCCAAGACTGTGTTTAGCAAAAGCATTCAAAGCCTCCTGGTTTTTACAGCATAAAGCAAGGCTTCTCTTGACACATTATTTTGAAAGAATATCACCAAATATTCAGTAAACAAAAGTAGACCCTTTCTCTTCACATCAAAAACAATATATTTTAACACTTCAAAGACCAACAAGGTTTGTATTCTAACATGGGCGGGGGGCGGGGCTGGATCCCAGCATGATTTTTGTCATTTGAGGACTAATTCATATGCAGTGCTGACCATGGGTGGGAAATCCTCTTGACTTCTGAGCTAGTTGTCAGATTAGTTTATCTGCAGGAAGCACTCACCTACAGAGCACAGCAATAATCTAGGGGGCAACTCTTTATTCTAACCTTCCCATATGCTTGTAAAAGGAGGTACTTGAAGTGAATAAATAGCTTTTCTGCATTGTTATCGTTGCTGAAATTTGTATCTCACCCTTCCTCCCAAAGTATCTAAAAGCAATTCCAGTGGTGATACAGCCTGGGGAAGATCTCTACCTTAACAGGCTTATTGAAAGAGGAAGATCTTTATAAGGTGCTGAAAAGGAAAAGAGATGGTACCTGTCTTATATTTCATGGGAATTCCAAAGGATAGGTTCCACAACACTTAAGGCCTGATTCCCAACATGGTACAGAAGACGTGGGATAACCAGTATTATATAACCATCGTGCTTAAGTCTAATTAATGCATGAAGGGGTTAACTTCATAGAGGAAGCTATTCTGCCAGGCTTAGCTATGCCACTTCCTCTCACCATGGCAGGAAATAGGTAATCAAGCCTATTGTTCCCCTTCTCCCAGTCTACCTGGAAAACTCAGTGTGTGAAAATGTTTGAGCTCAGCCATATCACTCTCACCAGTCACTCTTGAGTTCCTACATTAACAATTTAGGAACTTTCACCACTTTGTAACTAAGCTAAATTTTACTGCCAGTGCAACCTTTTTGACTGGTGTATGGAAAAGCACATGAACCTGATCTTTGTAGAATTTGTACGTAAACCACTTTTTTAAACTTACCAAATATGTGGTCTTTGCTGGGGAAAGATGGAAATGCTGGGGAAACATGGAAATTTTGGAACTCACTTGGAATGGTTTACTCTAAAGGTCTAACAGTCTGCATTTCCATTGTTATTTTGCTGCGTACTTTGTGACTTTAAATATCTGCAGGGGTTGTGTCACCAAAAACTACTTGCCCTAAGTGTGGGTCCAGGAATTCTCCATCCTATACTTCTTTTTTTGCACCAACAGAAGGGACTTCCTAATACCTGCATGAGGCCCACATCTGCAGGGTGCAGAGATCGATTGGGTAGATCTTAGCAAATGCAGAGAGCTTTGACAGCATTCAGGACACTTTATATACACTTCCTTGTAATTTCTACAACTACCTGCAAGATTTTTGAGAAGATTACAAGAAAACATCAATCAATAGTACTGCTGATTGAAAATGGATTGCCTGGGACCCCCTAGAATGTCGTGACAGGAAGAATATGTGTCTCTAAGCCACCACACAACATTACTGTTCCCCTACATCCAAACAGAAATCCTTATGGGTCCCGCTATCTAACTATGCAACTTAACCCATCATGGTCTCCCTGGTCACCCAGGTTCTGCTGGAGAGGGGAGAGAAATTCAGCTTAGTCTGCATTATAATGCAAAACTTCCTACTTCATGTTTCCCACAATAAAATGTGTACAAAAATGCAGCTATCTATCAAAACCCACACTTCTCTGAACTTTTCAGTGCAGCTCTCCAGTCATATAAGGTTTAAAAAGATATGTATATGGGGGGGTGCACAAAGATGCACATCTCTGTGAAAATAACTAACAAAAAATGCATTATATTTCGGGGGATTGCTTGTTAAAAATGTATATATTAGGTAAAAATGCATAGAAGATGTGTTGGGAGAATTCATATTAGAATGCTGATTAATTTCTGTGCAGAATTTAAAAAAGAAAGAAATCATAAAGTGATGAGGAAATGAGAAGAACTGAAATCTGGAAATATGAGAAACAGAGAAATTAAAATTCACCAATTCTTCCAGCCCTAGGCCCTGCCAAGATACCTGATGTTGAGCTCACACACCTCTAAACTGATTAAATTAAATGACCTCTCTCCTCGATCTGAACCATGCAAATGGTGGGGGGTTGTGTGTGGTCTTCCACCTCTGATATTCTCAGTTGAAGGACCATAGCTCATTGGCTGAGCATCTGCCTTCCATGAAGAAGATCCATAGTTCAATCCTTGGCAACTCCAGGTATGACTTGGAATACCCCCAACTGAAACCTTGGAAAGCCACTGCTAGTCCGTGTACATGATACTGATCTAGAGGGATCAATGATCTGATAAAATGCAGCTTTAAATGTTCTGTGGCTATATGGACTAAGTCTATCTTAAACCAAAAGCTCATACAATGTCTCCAGAGCAAAGATGTGTCCCTCCCTCCATGAAAATGAACCCAGTTATTTTCTCATTAAGCCACCAAGCTTTCATTTTAAATCTCAGAGACAGCAAGAAGAAATTCTAAACACTGGCCTCTTTTCATGATTTCTCTTGGGATTTCAACCAGGCAGCTGAAGGCAGCTGCTCTAATTAGCACAGCAAACAGCAAGTTTGCTTAGAAGTAAGACTCAGGCAGAACGGGTGGGGGGAGGGGTGGAGAGATGAGAAATATTTGTTGGTATGTCCATTGAAGTATATGGATTACGGCAAACCAAAGGGGAAACCAGCAATGTGGGAAGGATTTGTGGGAAAGGTTTCAGCTACAACAGGCAATCTCCCAGGGACCACAGGCAGGTAGGCAGGGCATAGGCAAAATTGGGTGGAATAAAGATCTGGTAGGCTACATTCTAGCCAGACAAAAACCAGCAATTTTGACATCTCTCCGTACAGGCGGTCAAGAGCAATATTCTGAAGGAACATATCTCCCTACATGAACATCCCCAGCAGGCTTTCCTACCTTCTGTGGAGGTATTTCAGTACTGCCACCTTCTCGGCCCTGTTGAGTGAGGATGTGAAAGGGGGTCTTCTCAGGGGCTGCTCTCAAATTGTGGCACACCCTTCCGCAGGAGGCTAAGCTGTCCCACTCTCTGCTTCCTTTCTCCAGCGGGAAAAGACTTTTTCGTTCCAACAGTCATTTGGCCTCAAACTGAGGTGGAGGTGGGGTGGGGGGTGTTGTACTTTTATTCTTTTATTGTGTTTTTAAATGGTTGTAAGTGCTTTCAGGGCTGCTTTTAATAGGGTTATATTTTTAATTGTTTAAAAATATTTCTGTTTGTTGTGTGTGTGTTTAGTTGCATCTGTTTTAAATTTGTGCTGTGAAGTACCTTGGGCTTTGCATTGGGAGAAAGGTAGGTTATAGAGTAAATACATAAATTAATAAGCATTTCACAATGGAAAGACACATTTCAGCCAGTCAATGAGGGTACAGACTAGGGCTGCTCATGGGAGTGACCTGATGGGTGTCCATCCAGAGCCAGATAGGGCAAGCCTGAGGCTTTTCCCATCCCTGGGCTTTGTGTTGATGTAGCATCATTCCTAGAGACTTTCTTGGTGAGGGTGGGGGAGATGGCAATGACCCTCAACACCTCATCTAATTGTGAGGTACTTCCACCTGAACTTTTGCTACCATCACATTCACATAGCAACACTTGAAAACATCAAGAGCCTTTTTTTGCATTTCCCCCAAATGTAGTGAGGAGTTAGTGGCCTGGATTAGTGCTGGGCTGAAATCTGTCCAGTTTATCAAAGGATATTTTTTTTTCCCTGTGAAGGAGGATTTTTTGCTATCTCCTCATGAGAGGACTTGAGAAGTTATTTGGAATTTTTCTGGACACCGGTTATTTAGCATATTTTCACTGCTAGGTGCCCAAGAGTGGTATAGGTGGTTTTTCCATACCTGTAATTGTAGAATGAAAGACAGGACACTCACAAACACCTCTTGACAGCCTCAAGCTTAAGGCAGACACATCAAAACCCCAGCACCCCACCCATGTGAATTGCACCAAAATTCTCTATCCCCTTTGATACTTCTAAAATACAAGTTATTTTCCCATTAATTGGTGGAGAATTGTCAAAGAAAAAATGAAGGTGTTGTCAGCACAGTGCTAGGCTGAACATTTCAGCTGGGGCCTACATTTGACCATCCTCTACTCTCCCAGTACGAATACTTGAAAGGGTCTCATTACAGTGGATTTGAAGTCTAGTGAATGCACTTTTCTTTCTCTCCTTTAATATTGATTTATTTCAAATTCTTAAGCAGGTGCTTGCAAGTATGCAAAGATCTCCTGTTCCTTAAAACTGATTCAACTCCTTTCTCTTGTTTAATTCAGTCATCCAGAGAGAATGACTAAATTAACCATCCATTATATTAAAGCTTAAAGATAAGGAAGCTTTTTTGCTTCTTCTCTTCTTATAGCACTTATGAGGCACATGTCTCAGCTGAGCCCTGATAGATTTAGCCTCATTCAGGAGAGAGCTGGAAATAGCGATAAGGAATTTTAGGTCTGGCCTAGCATTGGAGCACACTGCTGCCTATCAAAATCAGATGACAACTGCAAAAGTTTAAAGTGGATCTGGTGTCAGGTGAAACGGTCAGAGAAACAAAATGAGGAAGCAGAGAGTGACAAATCAATGAGGTCCTAAGGATAATGAGGCAAGTTATATTGCTGCAGAGCAGACTTCCCCAGTCTGGTTACCTCCACAAGCCCCATCAGCCCCACCGGAATGCTGGAAATTGTTGTTCAACAAGGTATGGGGGAGCACCAGGTTACAGACCATTGCTGCAGAGTCATGTGTTACAAAGAAGGGCTGTAACTATGAGCTCATCTGCAGAATGCATTTAAAGCAGTTCCATACCACTTTAAACAGTTATGGCTCCCCCCAAAGATTTATGGGAAGTGTTGCTTGTTAGGGGTGCTGAGAGCTGCAAGGAGGCCCCTGTACCCCCCCCCCCAAGGAGTTACTATTCTCACAGTTCCCAAGGAAGATAGGTTGGTTTATCTGGGAACTGTGGCTATCTTAGTGGAGGTCTCATAACAACTGTCGACACACTTAACAACTACTGGTATTGTTTGGCAGAAGTCGTTATGGTTTAAAGTGGTATGATATTGCTTTCAGTCTATAGTGTAGATGGGAGCCCCAGATGTGGAGGAATGCCTATGGGAGCTTCCAGATTCAGAGCCCATGAACTTCCACTGAAATGATAAGTTCACCCAAATCTGCTGATATCTCCTCTCTAGCTCATGGGTGGTGCTGTTTTTGTTGCATGAGGATCCACATTGGCATAATGGATTTTCTGTTAGTATATTGCAGGAGTGAAGCTCCTCGGGTTTGGGAGTGAAATGTAGCCTTCCAGGTTTGCCGCTTCCTGGTCTAGAGCTGTCTCTTCAGCTACACACCCCTCTTCCCATACCACACGTCTAACAAAGCCTACTTTGCTCACAAACCCTTGAATATTCTTGCCTGGCTGGAATGTGTTCTTGGCTGGAGGATGGGGAATGTGTGTATAAGCTAGCCTGCTATACAAAAATAAAATTCCCATCCATTGCTCTGCTTTCCCCCTGGAAAGTCGCCAAAAGAGAATGTGACCTTCTGGTTGAATAAACTCCCCCATTCCTAGTATCTGGGATTCCAGAAGTTTTACTTATATCCCCTTTTCTGGCTAACAGAGAAATATACTCTGCCTGCTGCTGTATTTCAGGTTTTTACCTCTCAAGTTCTTTTTGTCTGTTTAGCTTCGTCTAATAGGAAAATCTGCACCTGAGCATAAATCTGGGGTCCAAGAAGAGGTCAAATCCTCTTCATCACTTAGAAGGACTATGCAGAAAAATATGCTTACATGCACATCCTGTAAAGTTACTATATTATCTGCCCCTCACATTTCTTTTCATTCCACATACCTGTATGTGTAACAAAAAAAGGTAAGAACAACTTGCTAGTCCAGCATCCTGTTCTCACAGTGGCCCGTCAGGTGCCTATGTGAAGCCCACAAGCAGGATCTAAGCACAATAACCACTCTTACTTCCTGTGGTTTCCAGCATCTGGTATTCAAAAGCATCCTGCCACTCACAGTGAAGGGAGAACATGGTTAGTAGCATTCACAGCCTTATCCTCCATGAATTTGCCTAATCTTTTTTTGTTGTTGTGTTGTTTAGTCGTTTAGTCGTGTCCGACTCTTTGTGACCCCATGGACCAGAGCACGCCAGGCACCTCTGTCTTTCACTGCCTCCCACATTTTGGTCAAACTCACGCTGGTAGCTTCTCGAACACTATCCAACCATCTCATCCTCTGTCGTCCCCTTCTCCTTGTGCCCTCCATCTTTCCCAACATCAGGGTCTTTTCCAGGAAGTCTTCTCTTCTCATGAGGTGGCCAAAGTATTGGAGCCTCAGCTTCACGATCTGTCCTTCCAGTGAGCACTCAGGGCTGATTTCCTTAAGAATGGATGTGTTTGATCTTCTTGCAGTCCATGGGACTCTCAAGAGTCTCCTTCAGCACCATAATTCAAAAGCATCAATTCTTTGGCGATCAGCCTTCTTTATGGTTCAGCTTTCACTTCCATACATCACTACTGGGAAAACCATAGCTTTTACTATATGGACCTTTGTTGGCAAGGTGATGTCTCTGCTTTTTAAGATGCTGCCTAGTCTTTTAAAGCCATCCAAATTGGTGATCATCACTTCCTCTTGTGAGAGTGACGTGTGAAGAAGTGCTTTCTTTTTCTTCTGTTCTGAATCTTCAAACATCCATTTTTTTATGTCCCAAAGTTCTAGTGTGATGGGAGAGGGAGAAAAACATTTCTCTAGCTACTTTCTCCATGCCTTCATAATTTTATACATTCTATCATGATACCTCTTACTCATACTTTTTCTATTAAAAAAAAGCCCCCAAATGCTGCAACCTTTTTCTCTGATGTGACTTGCTGTATCCCCTTGATCTTGTCTGAACTTTTTCCAACTATACAATATCATTTCTAGTCACCCTGAAAAGAGAAAACCCAGCTGAACTCCACTTTTAGGGTATGGGCATCAAGTCACTAGTAGTGCTATTATGAATTCTGCAGAGCAGTAATGAGATTAATGTAGTATAAAGCCTTGTGGAATGTTTAAAGCAGAACTGAACAAATGATACATATGCATGACAGTTGAACTTTCAAAATTCAGACAAGGTAATTATGAGGCATGTGTAACATAACAGTTTTAAAAACATGGGTGTGTGATGGATGGGCAGAAAGACAGCTGTAATTTTCTGTTTTAT